TATTCTGTGAAGTGAGAACCATTGTTGTTTTCTAATGTGATAATAAGCTGATGGGGCAGCCGTAGCTTTCCATTAGGAGCTTCCTGGAAAGCGTACTTAGTTCAAAATGAAAATATAATGGCGGAAATATCATTGTATGTAATGAGAATGCCTTCACAGTGTCGATCTGGATTTTTCAAATCACACAAATGACCCATTCACAGTATTTATTCAGTACATCTCTCATATCGCTAATGCACAGCAGTCCAAGTTACTATGAATAACAAAAAATCTATAAAGCTGCATCTATCTTTGCTGTTGTTAGAGTGGGTTATACACTCACCAAACACTTTATTAGGAACACTACAGTATACTAATACAGGGTAGGGCCTCCTTTTGCCCAATTCTTCATGGCATTGGATTCCACATTGGAAACATTTCTTTGAGATTCTGGTCCATGTTGACTTGATTGCATTCAATTGATTGCACACAATTCCTGCAGATTTTTCAGGTGCACATTCATTCTGTGAATCTCCGGATTCAAATCCAGTGGCTGTAAATCCAGCAGAACCAAAACATTGTCATGTTCAGGAAATGTTATAGTTTTAGACGACTTGTGCTTTGTGACATGGTACATTATCATGCTAGAAATAGCCATTAGAAGATGGGTAAATTGTGGCCATGAAGGGATGCACATGGTCAGCAACAATACTCAAAAAGGCTGTGGCATTCAAGCCATAATTGATTGGTATTAACAAGCCCAAAGTGTGCCAAGAAAACATTCCCCACACCATTACACCACCTCCACCAGCCTGGACTGTTGATACAAGGCAGGGTGAGTCCATGGATTTCTGATGTTGGTGCCAAATACTGACTCTTCTTGTCTTGAAATCTTCTTGTCATCACGCAAGCGCTAATTTTTAAAAAGTCAACTTGATGTCAAATCCACTCTCAAGTTTCAACCCAGGCAATACACACATCTGAGTTTAGTTTACTTTATTAGTCTTTACTTGATTACTTAACATCCAAAGTAGCAGTGCAGTACTGACTATTTTAATTTCTTCATATTATCACCCAAACAAATCCTGTTTCCATACGGCTAATGTTAATAGTTTGTGCTTGAACAATTATGTTAAAAGGGGCTCCTCTCAGCATGTGACCTTGTTACAATCAACCTACAAGTGTACTTGAGCATTTTACTACAAAATCTGACCCAGTTCCATGCACTGCTCAGGTGGCACTTAAACTGCACAGTAAGCGAAGTTGGGGCAATTTTAAAAATATGTCTAGTGTTAGCTTATATCCACTAGGCAGTGCCATATTACTCTCATACTCTTCCAGTAACTGCTCAGAGGTAAGGAAGATTTGGAGCCTATTCGAGGAACACTGGGAGAGAGGGAGGACTGCATCCTGGGTGGGATGCCAGTCCACTGCAAAGCACCACACACACACACACACACACACACACACACATTCACACCTCAGAGTTTTTCCGAACTCTTGGAACCACTGGAGCTGTGAGGCGGCAACGCTACATGCTGTGCCATCATGCCACCTTATTACTGATAAAAGTAAGATATCAATGTGATACATTTGTGACTAGACAAGCAGAGGACACACAAAGGCCTGAAGGCTTCATGTCTAGCCCCACTTTTATTGCCCAGAAGCGGATCTAAAAATAAATAAAAAAACACCCACACATACACACACACACACACACACACACACACACACTACACTGAAACAATGCAGAGAGGGGTTCGGACAGATGACGTGAAATCTGCCCATGCCATAAACAAAATAAAATTGATGTTAAAAACACATGGCACCCATATTGTTGACATTTGCATTTAGTAATAATAGTCTAAAAGGAGTGGAGAAAAAAAAAGAACCAAAATGAGATTGTTGATACACTGGTGCTTGAAAGTTTGTGAACCCTTTAGAATTTACCATCTATCTACATAAATATGACCTAAAACATCATCAGACTTACACAAGTCCTAAAAGTAAATAAGAGAACCCAATTAAACAAATGAGGCAACAATGTTATACTTTGTCATTTATTTATTATAGGAAAACGATCCAATATTATCCAATATCCAAAATCATAGAGATGTATAGACATTTCTAAAGGGTTCACTAACATTCAAGCACCACTGTATATTGTTTGAAACAATATCAATTAGAATAACTGTGATTTTTTTTATTTCTAGCAACCATTTTATTTCTAGCAATCTCAGTCACCTATCAGTAACAGGTGTCAGCAAAGCATATGCCCAGTCATGAAATGTTAACATACCAGAAATCAATTTGAAATTGCCGTAACTGTGAGTGTGGTTGAAAATGTCATTAAAAAGTTCAGAGGAAACTTTCAGAATTTCATATAGATGAAAAGAACAACAAGAAGATTTCATCACGGCAAGGGTTTTCCAACACACATACACACATGTCCCGCTTTCATTAACACACCCAAAGAATAGCATAGCAAGAATGGTTTGGTGCGGCAATTTGGCTAGTTCTATTTTAAGAGTTTTTGATTAAATCCTGCTGCTAGATGAGGGACATTTTTCTCATCTGCAGCTCCTCTTTCCTCTGGTGTGGAAGGGAACAACCCAAAAAATCAATTTGCATTTGATTAAGAGCTACAGACTTCAGTAGCTCAAACTCACGGCATACGTTCTTCCCATCGTATTAATCCAACAACTAATTTATTTTCTAATTATGCCTGACGGACAAGGAGGGTAACAGAGTGCAGCGTTTTTGAGCTGGCGATCTGGCTTTGTGGATAAAGGTGCTGTGAAGGAGGTTTGAAAGGGCTTGTTGGGTTTAAGGTTACATAAGCTGACAAACACTAACATAACATGATCCAACCTTCATGATGGGAACAAGAGTGTCTACTCAGAGATGAAAGGAAGTCAAACTATCACATTTGATTAAAGGAACTCCACAGAAGTTTCTAAAGATTTAAAGTGATAGTGCATTTCAAATCAGACAACAGCTACATATCTTAACAGGGCTTAACCAATATCACATTTCTGTAATGCTGGGATTGGAAAATAACAGCGCCGGGATTGTATCAAGTCCGTAGGATAGACAGAGAAATGTGTAGGATGGACGTAAACATTTTTATCTAAGATTCCGGATGTGTTGTGCAGGAATGATGTACCATTCAGAAATGATTATATTGCATAGTATCTGCAAACAGTCCCTTCTATTTCATGCCTCATTTCAAAAAGTTTGAAATGCATGCCTTGTGCAAGGCTGGAAGCAAGAAAAACATGCTACCATTTCTAGAGTTGGGTATAACAGAAAAAATATATTAGAATACAGTAACGTCAGTAAAAGAAGACGGCGGTGGTGTAATTTTATATCTTCAGTGAACAGATGTAAGGCCAATCAGACAGGGTTTACAGGAAAATACATGGAAATACTCGTGTCTTATTGGCTGACAGTCTCTCAATTCTGCCAAACTCTCGCTCACAGTCAGTGTGAGAAAAAAATGGATATACGCTGATTTTATTTTTTAATCCAGTAAAGGAGTTGAAACTGAAACAGTAACATCCTCTGGTGCTGAGCAGGAAAACAAGGTGTGTAAATATCTATATGAGTTCCAGTTTACATGAACAATATATGAGCAGAGCATAAAACCATTTGCATGGCACTATAGCAGCTAAACTCATACAATGATAGCTTAGCTGTGCCTCCACTTGGTTAGCAACACCAAACTAGCCTAGTTAGAAAGATGATATATTTTATCGGTCTGGTAGTCATACAAACAGTCACAACACCTGAGGCAAGTGTTATGATTACATTGACATACATTGACACGTGCTAAAATTTCTGAATGAAAATTTCACTTTGTAGTGTATTTTTGTAGGTTTGATAGTGTGGACAGTGAAACCACAATATTTAACAACTGGCAATGCTAAAGGTTTCCAAAAATTGATAAACTGTAACCACAAAGGGACATATTCAGAGTGGAGTTGACCATGCATATTGAGGATTTAATGCAGAAACTGTGCACATCAATATCCAGTTCTCAGACATAACTACAGACTTAGGCTCTATTCAGAAGCAGCACAAGAGATATGCAGGTGGGTTGAAGTCTGAGTAAAAACAGAGGCGCTAACAATTACCAAACTATTTTTTCTCTGAAACAATGAATCAACTTAAAGACTATGATTGCACAATGCATTAAAATAAAAACTCCAACTCAAGACATTTATCGAGAACACTCCTCCTTTCCACATGCTGACAAAACCCATGAAAAATGAGTGGCTGAAATGAATGGAAAGCTTACACACACAAAACTTTAGGGAGCTCAAATTAAAAATCCTGCAAGAAGAGAAGTCTCCAGGCGGATATGGAGTTGCTGAATTATTAAGATCTCTGTCATGAAATCAGGGAAGCACCTCAATCAACAGAGGGATTCAAAGAGGAACGATAATAAGTGTTCTCCCATGCATCTGCTAGCGGAGCCTAAAATAGGCTTCAATCTGTTCCCAATGCACACACAACCTGAGGCTCTAACTACTGCTTATGGGTTTCAAATCTGGCTGATAATATCAAAAAGATTATTAGGATCAGAATAGCACCTGTATGATGAATTAAAGTTAAAACAAGAGAAAACTATTTATAACAAAATACCATGCAAGTATTCCTATGATGTAAACATACTATACAGTATCTCTAGTAGCCCAAAGACGGCAAAGAACCAGTCACTATATTCTCTTCAGTCTAATACCGATATACTTATTTGCTTGGGTTACATATTCACATGGTAATAGATATTGTAAGCAATAGCATGATGTGTAAGATATTGTAAGATATGTAAGCAATAACACACAGAAGACCTGAAGTGCATTCTTTTCATAACAGTACAGCCTGGAGTGTGTTACTCCACTTATACCACAGTGATTTGTCAATGATTACAATGTTTAATTTATCAAAGAATGACTTCTCATACATTTTAACCATGTAGATTTAATGTTGTGGAATGTCCATGAGACAAATTAATTGGGGGCATGGTGGTTTAGTGGATAGCACGTTTGCCTCACACCTTCGGGATTGAGGGTTCGATTCCCACCTCCACCCTCTGTGCGTAGAGTTTGCATGCGTTGTAGGCTGATAGGCATCTATAAATTATCCATGGTGTGAGATTGTGCCTTGGGATGGGGTGGCACCCCATTCAGGGTGTCCCCTACCTTGTGCCCTGAGTTAGGATACCCTGGGATAGGCTTCAGGCTCTCCTGACCATTTGTAAACCTTTTGTAAACAATATCGCATTAGAACAAGCACATTAACCCATCTTTCATGATAGATCTGGACCTACTGTCTCAGCCATGTTATACAAAACATAATGGCCACCTTCTGACCAATCAGATTCACGTATTCAACAGCACTGTGGCATAAAATGTCCTAACTTTGTTTTGTTAATATTACATACACTAATATTAATGTTGAAGTTCACGGTTGGTTCATGTTTACTAATGCAGTATATAGTGTTAGTTAAGGGAACTTTAATGTACAGCATGACCCAAAATATCTATTTACCATTTTAAACCCGCAGCAGCTATCAGATTAAGTCAGTGTAGAGCTCTTCTTACAGATAATTTCATATACTCCACTCGTCTGTCTCCAATCAACTTTAGAAAAATTATCCAACCATACAACATACAATAATAATAATTATGGTTAGGCACCATTTAGGAAGCACCCCGCCTTGTGCCCAATGCTTCCTGGGATAGGCTCCAGATTCCCCGCGACCCTGAAGAAGGAATAAGTGGTTGAAGATGGATGGATGGACCATTTAGGAAGCTTGTAGGGTGTATGTAGGCACCTTTAAGGTGTATTCACTTGGACAAAGAAAAAGGTCAGGTATGTGAACTGGTCTGTTTCATTCAAGTGAAGCTTCATTCATCCTAACTGATCTTTAATAGAGCTAAAGCCATAAGTATAGTCAATTAATTACATAGACAAATTTTTCACATTTATGTTTCAGGCTCCTCCACCGCCTTCAACACATTTTGATGCATAACCTTGGTTAAGTGCTCATTTATGCTGAAGTGAATTGGCTTGATGACCAAACTAAAATAGCCTCAGATGGCCACGGGGCAACGTCAAGGATGATTGACTTATATTTCACCTTACCTGGCACACACTTTATACTGGATTATTGAAAAAATACATTATTAATTTGAAGGCAGTGCTGTCTTTTAATACCTGCTCTAATCTCCTGAGGCCTGAATCATGAGTTATTTGCAGCGCTTAAAGGTAAAGGCATAAGGCTTAGCTTAGTCTTTAAAGATGAGCATATATTCAGAATGGATGGTTCAAATAAAAAAAAATTGTCTTTGCACCATAACCTGAAAGTTTGGCATCCATGAAAAATTATAAGCACTTGCAATAAAGTATTAGGCAACTTAATGATGGAAAGGAAGTGCTTGCTGTGCTGGAATATGGAGAATCAAGGAGTGAAAAAACAACTCTCAAAGCAATTATTAAAAGAGAGAGAGAGAGAGAGAGAGAGAAACTTCACATTTAATAGCTTAATAACAGCAGTGCTAGACAGGAGTGTGAGCTCAAATAAACAAAACAAAGAAAAGTCTGTATTGATTATGGGCAGGATTACAGTTTTCATAAGTGAAGATTTAGACACTATTCTATCTGCATAGCTTGAGACTGTAAGTAAAATGCCTATAAAAGCATTTGCTGTCCATTCCGACTGTATAAGGCTGAGGAGTTTGCAAAAATCATGGGGAACTGACAGTACCGTGGGGACTCTGCACCCGGAGACACAGTGAAAGGCTATCAATTATCTGTCAATATGAAGCAGCTCCATGGAGCGTATGACAGTCACCCACTCACCATCTGCTCTGCCAGCGAGCGGCCGATCCGTCTTTTGTGGGAATTGCACAGTAAGAAGGAAAGTGTTGAAATATACAACGTGTAGATATAAGCGTATAAGTAACAGCACTATAAGAATGGCACTAAACGAAGAATGACCTTTTCATACTTTTACAACTTTTTATAGAATCATTGTTATAGAATTTGCCAGAATTTTGTAGTAGAAACCTATTCATTTATTCATGAAGGGAACCATGATGGATCTGGAGCCTGTGATGACCAATTTAACTACCAGCATGTATTATTAGGAGATGGGAGGAAGTTGGAAAACCCCAGTTAAAACCCACACTGGGAAAATATGTGAAACTCCGCACAGAGAGTAATACAAGTTCAGGATCACCCCAGGGATCATGGATCTATGATACAGCAGCAACACCATACCTCCCTAAAATCTATCATCTTGATATAATTTACAATAATTGATTTTACAGACACGTTTAACCAAACCGACTTTTAATTAAGAGCATGTCCACTTGATTGAAGGTTAAGAGTATTGCAAAATGAGCCAACAGAGGCAATTTGACAGTGTTGGAATTTGAACATTCAACCTTTCAATTAGCAGCCTAGAGCTTTAACCACAGAGCTAAAACTTCCCCAAAATGGTCATTGTTCCCTTACCAAGAATCGAACCCAATCACCAGTGACTAACATTTCAAATGAAGTACTGAACATGAGTAGCTACCACATTTTCTGGTGTGTAAATCCAGTTTTACACCATGCGATATCAACTGTCTTTTAATATGAATTAATGTTATTAGGCCATACCAATAAAATCTTGGTTGACAATAGACTGTGCCATAAAGCGTTCTCCAACAAACGAGCCATTAGTATAATCGTAGCAATATTATGCTTAGAGATAACAACAAACATCTTTTCTTTTTAATCTGATGTTTCACCATTGCAACTGCTATATTTGTAGCTGTCCTGTGAGTTAAATGTCTGACACTGGCAGGTCATCAGCACATCAGAGAGCAATTTTTTCAAACTGCTAGATCACAGGGCAGCATGAAACACTTGAAGGAAAGTACTATAACGTATATTCCACATACATGAACTCAAAGATGCCCTAAGATTGGCTAGTGTTGCTTTGACTGACACGAGAGAGAACATCATCCCTATGACTCATGGTCAGTCTTGCTCTTTTCTCCCAAACATGCATGGCTGTGGTATCCTCAGGATTCAAACTCGCAATCGCCCAATGATAGAGCAAATGCTTTTATTTTGCGCCTCTTGGGAGCCCTTCACATCAAATTCAGGCTGAAAAATTGTACGGTGTAAAGGAAAGGTTTCCAGCAAAATCCTGCAAAAGAATGACATATTATAGTATATAGAAGCTTTTGGGTAAATATGATCATCAGAAAAAGACAACAATGGTCTTGTCAACTCGCTCTTGTTTGTTGAGCGATGGAGAAGTTAAATTGTAGTTCACTTTTCTGTATTGATCAGGGTTAAGCTGGATTTCTCTTTATGGACCAGATCAAGCCATATGTGAGATATAATCTCCCTGTCTCTATGGACCAAAGCCAATGCCAAGCTGGTATTGATAGGCAGGAATAAAGCCCATGAAGGGCAACTAAAATCATAAGGATAGGTTATGATGAATCCTAACCCAAGTAACAACATGGCTACCTCTACTGTTTCTATAACATGTATGAGTGGCTGAATGGATGATCAAATATAATCAATGACTGAAATATAAATAACATTGATCTTTCCCAAGGTTCGTCTGTGGAATGGGTTGTTTTTCACTTCTGATTCACTTCTGATCTTTCACATCACTGTAGTGAAACTTTGGCCCAATCGTTTTTGCAAAAGTGCTTTAATTGGATGGCTTTCAAGCATGAACTGCCCATTAAAGGTTTTGCCTCATCATCTCAACAGGGTTAAAGTCAGGACTTTGACAAGGCCACTACAAAACCTTTATTTTGTTTTTTTTTTGAGCCATTCAGATGTGGATTTGCTCATTTGCTTTGGATTATTGTCTTGCTGCATAAATTAATAGATTAAAGCCCTTCAGATATCAGACTGATGTCTGGACATTCTCCTAAAGGATTTCCTGTAAGAGAGCAGAATTCATTGTTTCATAATTTTTGGAAAGTCACCTGGACTGTGAAGAAACAAAGCATCCCCACATCATCCCACTACCACCACCATGCTTGACTGTTTCTATGGTATTCTTATTGTACACCATACACCAAAGGTAACAGAACCCATATCTTCCACAAAGTTCCACCTTATTTCCTCTTGGTTAGCAGTGGTTTTCACCTTACAACACATGCACGGACACCATTTTTGCCCAGTCATATTTGAATGGTTGAATCATGAATTTTGACCTTATATGAAGCTAACAAGGCCTACAGTTCCTTAGATGTTTGTTTGTATTCTTTTGTGACTTCCTGGATGAGTAGTCAATATGCTCTTGGAGGAATTTTGGTAGGCCAGCCACTTCTGGGAAGATTCACCATTGTTTAATTTTTTTTTTCATGATAATGGGTCTCATTGTGGTTTATTGGAGTCCCAGAATCTTAGAAATGGTTGTGTAACCAGTTCCAGACTGAAATTAGTTTTTAATAGTAGAGACCTTTAAGCCCACTTCACATTGTTGGAAAGACTCTTTTTACTTGATGTTCAGAATCAGCAGGGCTGACAGAAATTATGTCTGGGTGTGTCTAATCTAGGTGAACCCAATTATCAATTACATTTGGTTAATTGGTTGATTAAGTATTTAAGTGGGCAAGAGCTTTTTCACACAGGGCCAGTTGGGTGCTGGATAACGTTTTTCCTTCAACAAATGAAATGATCATTTAAAAACTGTATTGTGTGTTTACTCAAGCTCATAATTATATTTTAGTTGCTTCCTTTAGATCCTCAGGCTCACATAGCTCATTAATTTTATAACCAAAGTAGAGCACGCTTGGAGATACATGGTGTGTGGGTTCTGTTAATATCATGATCTTTGAGAGGGACTATGTGGATGATATTTTTTAGCACTCAAAAAGCAAAATGTTTACTCAAAATCGAAATGCAAAATTCTAAATTTGAGACAGTTATAGTGTATTATAATAGCAAAACTGCAACAGCATTGATTGCTTATAGCTTGGTGCACCTGGCAGCAAGCTATAAGCTCAGTCCTGATAAGACCTGGTGCTCTTGAGGTGACTAGTTTTCCCTCATCTAAAACAATTGTT